CCTATGAAATGCCCCTGAATACCACCAACAGACTCATAATATTCGACTGCATGAGTCCAGGATGGCACTTTCATGATCCAGCCTTAAAAGAGGAGATGGTTGAAGAATTTGCTTTAATCTGGGATATAGAGATAAACAAGAGTACAAATTTAACATCATGCATTTGCTACCATTTATTTATTCAGCATTTATTTTGAGTTACATGTCAGACCGGCTAGGTACTTTAAATATATCATTTAATTCTCACAAGTTTATCAGTCTCACTTTAACACACGGGGAAAGCAAGATTACAAGAGCTCGGAATTATGGCAAATACGTGTTTAGGCATAAAATGAAATTGAAAGTCTTATAACAAGGATTTGAGTATAAGTCTATGTCCTGCTGCTTGTAAATAATGGCTACATAACAAAAAATAAAATGTCATTTTAAGTGCTCACTGTGCTATGAAGCTCCTCAATCAAAGTAATTTGAGCCATATTTGATTCCCCTTTTCTCAAATTTCACATTCTATTCCCTTCATATTTTTCGTGTTCTACCTTCAGAAGAATCCATTATATCTTTAATACGTACCAAGATACATAACATACATTTTATTTACTTATCTCATCACACCACCCTAGTTTATCTCCAGACTAAATTATTAAGTGTCTGATCTAAACTCCCTGATTCTTCTTCCCTTGCCTTCCCCTCCAAATCTATTTTGAACCCTTACAAAGGGCTCCTATTAGAGATGGGTCACTCCTTTGCTCAAAACAGTTCAAGAGTTGCCCATCTTGTTAAAGTAAAATCTAAAGTCTTTAAAATGGACAGGTAACACTGACATCATTTCATCCATTCCTCGCCTCCACTCTAGCCACACCTGCCTCTTATTTATTACGCAATCATACTAAACATTGCTCCCTTCACCTACTATTCCCTCAGACTAGAACAGTCTTTCCTCAGATTTTACCTTTTTAAGACTTTGCTCAAATAACAACTTAGAAGTAAAGACTTTCTCCCCCTCTCCACCCTGACCAGTACCCCACATCCCCTCCCTCTACGCAATCATGGCGCTTTCTACTTTCTCACATTTTATGCATATATTCATTACTGCCTGTCTCCCCCAAGATTTAAATTCCAAGTAAGCAGTACATGCCCAAGCTACTCAAGCATATCACCTTCTTCACACAATTCTAGCATTTCTAGGTAAATGCCAGAAACTCCCCTATTACTTACACACATATATCAAAATCTAGGGACAGTAGTTTTTATTTTTTATATTCGTGCTTGCTTTCCCATAAGTCAGCAAATTGAAAGACTGAGCTTTAGGTTCTCATTGTCTCAAAAAGTTCTTTCTGGGCTTCCCATGGTGACACAGGAGTTGAGCGCTGCGCTGCGAAGCTGTCCACAGCCTCGGCAGCACCAGTTCTGTCCCGCCAGCTGGTGAGGGTCCCAAATGGCTCCCACGTGGCGCAGCAGACCTCTCCTGTCACGCCCACTGCTCCCCTCAGCAGTGTATTTCATTGGTCTTCCTGTTCTGCTCCCTACTCTGTCTCTGGTGAATCCTCTCACCCTCCCACAAATCTGGCCTGTACCCCGGTTCTTGTATAAATAAACAAAAAGTTCTATCTTCCTGTGATTCTCCCCATTCATTACTAGCTCTTCTCTCTCACATTATTCTAAGAAAATTTAAACCCCTAAAATGATAAGCACTGATTCTTCTATATTTTATCTGTTTTTACTCCAACTAGAGTGCATACTTCTTTGAGGTCATCTAACACAATGTCTAACATACAGAAAATTCTAATGTCAAGATTAGTATTCCATTCCCAATTCCTTTCACAAATATAAAGTTCAGTTGTCATTTTTTTCCCATGAATTACCTAGTCTCCTCTGAAAGGTGGTAGTGAGGGAAATGGGGAATACCTAAAGTAAATGTAGTCTTATATTAACTAAGATGGGCAAAAGAGAAGGGGGGAATGACACATAAGTTTTTGGCACACCATGGCCATAGCCAATTCCTTTACTCTGTAGATCTGAAGGAGGGAGGAAGTGATGAAGACAGACCAGATAGATGAGAATTTAGATTGTCTTTCACAACCCTGCCCTGGCAACCTGAAAGAGCAGGACTGACAGGTTCCTGAAGGGACAAATTAGACTTAATTTTACAGGTATTTTTGTTGACTTTGGTGTTAATGACCTGCGAAGAGATTTAAAATTAAAAGGACAACAAATAATCCAAATTTCATCATCATTCATACACTCTTACTTCCTATTGTTTTTCTAGAAAATTTCCAATGGCAAAGAAAAAATGGAGTATGTTCAAACTGAATGATGTTGATGTGAAGAAATAATGAAAAAATGTATTTTCAATTCAATGCTAATAAGCACATAAGGGGATCAAAGACCACAGATTCCTGCAAATTCTCACCACAACCACTTCCCCTGCCCCATCCAGGGCAAAGACATCAGATGTGTTTTATTTGGAGAACATGACACACTTTAAAAGTTTCTCCCTGGCAAAAAAGCCAAAAGATACTGTAAAAACGTAGTGCACTTAAGACAATGAGCACCAATGGGAAACCTACCTAAGACTAACATTTGCCATAACCTAGGAAGGAACATTAATGCATGCATGTGAATATATGTACATGTGAAGAGTGACTACAGGACTACAGTTACAGGTTAAGTTGAAAAGTGTGCTGGGAAGAGGAGGTGGTGCTTGCCTGGAAACAGAAGGTAAGATGGGTTGGAAATTCCTAAAGGTGAAAGTTTTTTTTTTTTTTTTTTTTTTTTACTTCTTTTTGGCAAAATTAGTGTGCCTTATCTTACATTCTTTAAACTGGAAAAGATATTAAAATTTAAAAAGCTATATACAAAATCATTCTTCACAACTGTACAACATTAAAGACTACCTTTAACACTTCCTTTAGGTGCAAAATCTACAAGCTCATTTATGGAATGCATTGCTAATAAAGTGAATTACTAATAAATTTGAATGAAGCATTCAAGTCTCCTGGTTAGAAAACAGTGAGAGTCATTCTGAAAAAAATTACAAATATCAATAGACTAGATATTAAATCAACATTAACAGTACGAATGAAAGTTGCCAAAGAATATAAACATACAACAGTAGAAATAAATAATCAGAAGGGATCTTAGAAATTATGAGTTTCTCCCTCCTTCCATTCAACTCTTCGCAGAGGCCTTCCCTGATCACCCACCTAAAATAGCTGCTCCTAGCACACTCTATTCTTGTACGCGGATTTATTTTTCTCATAACACTTACCCACTATGGGTCAGTATGTTATGTAGTTGCATCTGCGGTTAGCCTCCTGACTAAAATGTAAACTCTATGCAAAGACTTTGTCAGTTTTGTTAATCTCGGAGCCTAGAGGCACACTATAAACCTGCTGAATAAATCAATGAAACACAAGTTCAGAAAGGTTAAAGGATTTCCTCAAGGTAACAAAGCTTGCAGGAAGCACAGCCCATACTATAACCCTCTCTGCTAATTTCCACAGCCACATCCACTACCCACAGCAGCCTGTTCCAGCATATGATTCTATTTAACAGATTTCTCCTTTTCCTTTTTTTAAGTGCCAAAGAAAATAGATGTTACCAAAAAAGGTGACACTCTGGGTAGCATTTTAACTTCGAATCTTTCACCAACCAAAGTCTACTCAGATTTCTTTTTTTTTTTAATTCTTTTTTTTTTTTTTTAATAGAGGCATGCTTTATTTATTTGTTTGTTTGTTTGTTTTATTTATACAAGCACTGGGTACAGTCAGAAGCGCGGGAGGGTGAGAGAATTCACCAGAGTCAGAGAGGGGAGCAGAACAGGCAGAAGGACCGAAGTACGCTGCTGAGGGGAGCAGCGGGCGGCAGGAGAGGTCTGCGCACCATGTGGGACCCTCCTCCGGTAGCTAGGGAGCAGCCGGGGATCGAACCGGCGCTGCAGAGGCTGCGTGCAGCTTCGCAACCCAGCACTCAACCGCTGCGCCACCGGGGAGGCCCTCTACTCAGATTTCATAAGCATATAGGATGAGGTGTAAAACAGAAAGAAACAATCACTCATAGTTCTTCGAGTTCCTTGTGAAATTGGTGTATGCCTGCGAAGTTTTAAGAACAGTCGCTGAAATCCACTCACCAATTCAGAAAGGCCTGTAAAGTATCAGCCTCACTTTCCTTCTTCCAAGAACCCACACCACCTCCTCTCTGGATGTATTTTATCTTGAAGATAATGCAAGGAAATGTAACCAACTTTAAAGTCCCTTTCTGTTACTTTTAAAGAACAAGTCAATCTCACAAAACGCAACATAAAATTAACCCGTGGGAAATTTTAGATTCTGAGAAGAGCAAAACATCTCTGAACCATCATCTGACAGTGATCAGGTGGGTCCTTCATTCAAAGTCCACGAACCTGAAAAACCTCAAAGAAAAGCGGGAAGGAAAAGGGTGGGGGAGAATATTTACATATAGAACAAGGGAACTGATATTCCTGATAAACTTTCGCAAAATGCAGGCAGGCGTCTTGGACAAAGTCAAGGAAGGCCTCACGGACACAACTTCTTGCTGTCTTCTTCGAACGCCTGCCTGCCTCCAGTGACAGGAGGAAACTGCCAACACCTTTTGCGGCGAACGTGCCTGCGCCAGGGATGGGACTCGCCAGGGGATGATTGCGCGACCTCTCTCAAAACTACCGGCCGCCCAAGGAGCAAACTGGAAGGGAAGACCTCCAGGGTGGAATGGCAAGAGACTTGGGATGAGATGAGAGTTAGGAGCGGCCAGCAGCGACGACAAGGTGCGGGCGGGTAAACAACGCACCAGGGGCAGGTGTGCGAACTCGGGTCAAGGAAGTGGGGAGCCCGAGAGGCCGGGGAGACAGCGGGACAGGACTGGGGTCCGGGTGGGAGGGGCGGCGTGAGGAGGAGGGGACGCGGGGGAGGGGAAGGGTCCGGGGCGGGGCGGAAGGGAGCGAAGAGGCGGGATGAGGGGGACCAGGCCGGGAGGGTCTTTACCTGCAGCTCCGCCCGCTCCACCTCCCACTGGGCTCTCTCCACTTCGAAGCGGGCCCATTCGTGCTGCAGGAAGTGCAGGATCCCCGGGAGGCTGTACTGGGCTCGAGCCGCCCCCGCCGCAGGCACCCCGTCGCCGGCCGCGGCAGCCTCCGCCAAAGGCCCGAGCCCCTTGGCACCGCCGGCCCCGGGGTGGTTGTTGCTGAAGAAGACGCCGGGACCCGCCTGCTCGTCCATGGCGGCCGCAGAAGCCGGGAAGCTGCCCAGGCGCCCAGCAGCGGAGGCAACGGCGGCAGCCAGCAGAGCCTCCTCCTCCCTCCGCCGCTCCCCGCCCACACCCCAGTCAGCAGGGAGCAGCCGCCTGGGCGCGGGGGCCGGCCGAGCCCGGGACGGGCCGGGAAATGGGTCAACTGCAGCGCGCAGGCGGCGCGGGGCTTGCTGGGAAATGTAGTCGCGGGGCGTGGCGCGGCGGGCGCGGCCCAGGCGGCCTGAGAGGCAATCGGCTGGGGCGCCGCTGCGGCCCCGCCCCCGACGCGCCCGGGAGCGCGGTGTCTCCGCGGGCTGGCGGGGGTGGCGGGCGGCCGTCGCGCGGCTCGCACGCGGAAGTCCTCGGCGGCGCGCCCTGTTACACTCACACACTCACACACACGCGGAAGTCGCCGCGCCGAGATACCAGCCCGAGCTGCGTTTCTTTTAGGGCTTCCTGGTTGTTGTGTTGAGAAACCGGGTCCCGGCCAGCCTGGCCTGTCCCGGCGTGGGCTGGGGGCGCCCAGCCGCTCCCGGCCCCGCTGGCTGCAGTTCTTCTCCGGCCCTAGAAACTTTTCAGTTCTGCTCTCCGAGTACCGCTGTCGTTCCTGCCTTACTTTTTTGACTCTGAGGCTCAAACTTGTTGCCTGATCAATTTTCCCTTGTGAGGAACTGGTCGCCCCTCTCGCCTCCTCTACACAGCTTTCAGCTCTTGCAAATAAATTCTACTTTATTCACACGTCTGAAACACTGCGCCGCTGAATTTTCTTTCCCTTTGTAGTTAATCTTGCAGTGGAAAAGCCTGGGAACGTGTCAGAAGTCGCTGGTTCTGTTATTTCGGTCTCCTTTTCTCCTACCTTATTCCCGCTCAGTTTTTATTCAATTTAATAAATATTTGGCTGCCGGTTCTGGCACTGGGGATACAAAGATAAATGACACTGTTCCTGTCATCAAAAGGAGATTGGCAAATACTCAATTCTCGCAGCGCCTTAAAGTTAACACTACCTGGAAGAGCAAAGTCCCTTTCTGCTCCCTAGAGTTATCTAGGGTAACAGCGGACTTGTCCCTTTTCGCTTGTCGGGTTCCCGGGTTCTTCCACGGTTCACCTGCAAACTGGCATCATCAGAGGCACACCAAAGTCCTTTTCTTTTAACTGTCTCTCGGTAAATGTTTTCCTTCTCCAAAATCCCTGAAATTATATCACTATAAATTCATACTACAATGGTAAGGAAAGGAAGGCGCCTAAAAAAAAAAATTAGCAACTGAAAATGAAATTAAGCACTTATTTTATGGCCCTAACAAGTTATCTGTAATTCTTTTGTTTTCTGGAATTGAACATCTGGACTACCAAACTTAATGGCCGTGGAAAAATTTAAAGATACAGGCTGGTGAGTGACATGTTAGGGAAGGACATCCTGTCCTTGTCCTCTGCCCATGGCTACTTGTGGAAAGGACAGGAAACACATTGTATCTGCTCTGGTTGCAAATAAATGTGGTAGGCTCCCTTCTCCCAGATATTGAATGCTTTTGTTCTATGATTCATTCTTTATTACAATAAAAGGTTGCTATAGGTCCAGCCAAATTCCCTGTCATAAATTATTTTGGTTGTGAGTGTCCTTTGAGATACTGCCCAATCCTCTCATTTTAAAACTCCAGAAACTGAAGTCCAAAGAATTAAAACCTGACCACAATGAGGCTTTGAGTAATTCACACAACCCAAGGGTAAAAACAAGAATTTCTGGCTAGTTAATATATTGTCTTCTTTTACCAGTTGTGCCTATTAGAGAACCAAGGAGACAATAAAACAGCAATGGCATCTTTTTTTCATCTGAAAGATTTAAGAAATTTTACAAATTTTAAATGATAAAAGCTTTTTTCTTGACTAGAAGACATCCAATAATTACTTTAAATGAATTTATAACAGAATGAATGAATTTATAATAATAGAATAAATTTATAATAACAGAATAAATGAATTTATCCATTATAAAACAATTAAATATACAGATAACTTGGAGTATCACATTTATAATTAATTTAAAAATTAAAGCAGAATTAATTTATAGTTCACAGTTCAACATCATTACTCAAAACACCCTTTTTCTTTTCAAGGACTAATTTACACACAAAATACTATTTATGCTCTATAACATCATGTCCTTTCGCTTAATAAACCAAAATATTAAGTGGTTACAATGAAGGTGGAATTCTGAAGAAATTTACATTCCTTTTCCCAAAAAATTCCATGTAGGGTATCGTTTTATAATTTACTCAAAAAAATGTGAATTTAAAAATACGATATTTCCTTAGCATTCATTTGTCCAAAATTACTTTAAGAGAATAAGAGCCATGATTCCAAGCACTTCTTTCTACACAGAATCAGCTTCTAAATCTATTAGCTTTTGAGTAGTGGGCTTACTGATGTTTTCCCCATTTGTGCTCATTTGTCTTTGACATTTTCTGTCTTCAGCTTCAATTACTTTCTAAGTAGCATTTTATGGCCTACAACACATATACAGAAAAGGTCACAAGTGGTAAGTGAACACCTCAATAAACTTTCTCAAACAGAAGGCTTCCATGTAACCACTACCCAGATCATGAACTAGAACATTGCAGGCATCCTGACAGGCCTCTCTCCATAAGCATTCTCATACATTTGAGCAAAATGTTTTTTAATTTGAAAAATGTACTGAAAAATTTAATAAATAGAAAGGATATGGCATTTGTCATGAGGTAAACCTAAATTTTAATCCATGCTATACACTTTGAAAATCTGGAAATCTTGGGCAAACAGATGAAATTTTTTAAATCTTGATTCTCTCATTTTTAATGTAAGAATATTTAACTTATAAAGTTACAGTGAAGATAAAATGTGAGAAATGTGAATTCCCTAGTATAGTCCTTGATGTGACTTAAACTGAGTAATAGTAGTTGTTATTGTAATAAAATTCACAAGACTGACTTAAAAAAATCATAAATAATACTAGAAGCTCACTAATTGTTCTTTTTCCTTTCTCATTCCCTGTTCAGAACTTTAATTCATCAGTTAATATAATCTTTTAAAATTATTAATGTCTATGCCTAATCATTATGCCTCAGATCTCAAAGTGTTGATGATTTCCTGGCTGCTTCATTTTACAATTCATAAATTCTATGACATACATAGGGCTTTCTTTCCAAGCACAGAGAGTAACTTCAAGATGTCAATTTATGTACTAGTGTAACCAGTTTTAAAGTGAAAAACTGTGAAATGCTTAAAGATTGGAATGTTTGTTATTTGTTGCTTTCTGTGTGTGTCTTGGGGAGGAGGATTATAGATCTACAAAATAACGATTCATCTGTACTTTTTCCATATTTTCCATTAAAATTAGTAGCAATTTTTAAAAAATATTTATTTATTTATACATACAAGAACTGGGGTATAGGCCAGAGGTGCAGGGGGTGAGAGGATTCACCAAAGTCAGAATAGGGAGCAGAACAGGCAGATCTACTGAAATACACTGCTGAGGGGAACAGTAGGCAAGACAGGAGATCTGCTGGGCCATGTGGGCTAGTTCCCTTGCTGGGGATCAAACTTATCCCACAGTGGCTGGCAATAGCTTGATAGTGCTGAGACATAACCCATGCACCATCAAGGAAGCCCCCAAATGAGTAGCAATTTTTAAAAACTGTCCAATATGACTAGTTCGTGGGGTCGCTAACTTTTTACTCAGAAATAAGGTTTCAAATTGAACTTGATGGCTCTTCAGAATAAAAAAACAGGGGCCTTGACTGGACAGAGGCCTCTGCTAAGACAAAGAACACTTTGGGGAACAGGAATAAGCAAATAATCCAAAATTTATCAACTGTTTCTACCAAATGCCCAATCCCGAATTTCTTTTACCTTCTCCTTCCTGCCTTCCCTGCTTTACTGGGTCAATTCTTGGGTCTATGTTTCCCCAACCTCCGAACTTAACCCCTAGATTAGAAGTCTGGTAATGACTGAGTTAGAGAAGTGAGGGAATTCTATTATCTGAAATTTTTCTTAAAGTCCAAGAATTAAATCACAATCCTGTAATAAGATGAGAAAATCCGTAACAGGGTGGTCCCCAGGAAAGGGGGAGGTTCCCTGCCCCACCCAAGGGAGGGTGGAGCTGAGCAGGAAGAGAAGAAGCTGCAGAAGAGACTGAGAAAAGAAGCAGGATGGAGCCAGGAGACCTGGAGGAGGCGCATGGAGCCTAGAGACATGTGAAGAAACTGCGCTTGTCTTTTGGTCGTGGACTGGGTGACACAGATGTGGGTGAGACCCGTGGGGAGGTGACAATGGCAGCTTTTATCTTGATGTTGATTTTGCTCTTTTCCTTCTGGGCTTGTCTGATTGTTTCTGACCCTTTGCTGTGGGTCCCCACTGGAAGGTGCTTTAGACTCGTGGCAGGCTTTGGGGCCTTGCTCTGGGCCAATCCCATTTGGATGGACTTTTACCCACGAGGGGACGGGTAACTTTTGGGTGCTTCACTTAGAAACTAGACTCTTTGCCTTACCTGTATTGTTTCCTAGTTTTATTACAGTTCCTTCCCATTAAAGTCTCATATGTTTTGTGTTGATGCGGCGGATGGCAGAACCCATTTAGAATAGGCAGGTTTGCGGGGTTTGGGCTGCCCCTCTCCCTGTCCTATAACAAATCCTGTAATTGATTATATATTATCGCTGTTTCTACTATTATTTCCTTTTAGAAGAGTATAGTCGAAATTAGAGAATTGTTCAATTTTAATTGTAAAATTAAATTTTATTTTATTTTAATAAATGTAATGATTTGATGAAATACAATTTAATTTTGAAACTAAATTTTACAGTAGCTGTTATTTAGAGAAACTATTTATGCCTAAAACAAGACTGTGTTAAACAAATCTAATTATTTAACAGAGGGGCAGCAAGACTTCTCTTGGAATACTGATGATCAATTTAAGACTGTTTTCTAAGCAAAGAAAAACTAGCGTGAACATTCTTTTCCTTAATAACCACCAACTCCATCTTGTTTCTCTATCCTTTTCTCCTTTAAAAATTTCTAGTGAATGA